AGGGGAGGGGGGGGGGGGGGGGGGGGGAGAGATAGAGAGAGAGAGAGAGAGAGAGAGAGAGAGAGATGATCAGTTGCTTCCTGCATGCAGCCCAACAGGGACTGGGGATCCAGCCTGCAACCAAGATATGTGCCTTTGACTGAAGCAAACCAAAGACCCTTGAGTCCACTGGCCCACGCTCTAACCACTGAGAACCTGGCTAGGGCCCAGCTGGTGCTTTAAAGGGGACAGGTGATGCTGTTTTGAGGATGTGGCAGCCATTAAAATGTGCTCAGCATTTTGCAGATATTTTACATCATGTATTCAGTCTTAACTACACATTAAAACCTATTAGGAGTTCATCTTCTTCACTCATTGTTTATCCACCACCCACATTTGTGGCAATACTGTATCCTCAAAACTGTTCTATAGCTCTTCCTTTTTGTGGCTTTCAGTAAAATTACATGAAAATATGCATTGTATATTCCCGAGAAAAAAATCAGTCATGTATTATTTTGTGTGTAAGGCACAAGTCCTATGCTTGTTTTAGAAATGTCAGTGTTCCTTTCCCACATCCCTCCCATAGAAAAAGAGATGCTGAGGAGGCACAACCATCACAAGAAACCAGTTAGCGAGTGGTGCTTTGTGTTTCCTCTTGACTGCCAGTTCAACCGTGATGTGTTTTGTGGTTGTGGAATTAAATTAAAACTCACTCTTTCTGAATGGGTTACCATAGTATAGCAAAACTGCCAGCAAAAGAGTCGTGTTTTCATTTTATGTGTTTCCAGAGGTGAGCTATTGAATTTGGTACTTGATTTCAAATTCCGATTTAGAATATTAGTGAACTGCCTTAGAATGATCTCTAAATGAGTTGCTTAGTAGGGCTTGGATTTGTCAGTTTTGACAATAAGATAGTTTTGCAAGGCTAAGGCCTCTGTTACTACCCCTCCATCTTGCTGTTAGGAGACCAGATTGGGGATAGCCTGCACCTCAAAGAGAGTGGCTGCTTAAGAATGACAGATGTTCTGGATGATTAATGCTTTCTTCTCTTGCTTTTGAATGTTCCCCCATCTCAAAGCTTATAACAGAGACATAAATCTGGCAGTGTCAAAATAAATTTAATGAAATAACCCTACCGGGTTATCTTGAAATAATTATAAGTCTAGAATTTCTATTTGTGAAAATAGGGAATATTTCTTACTCATTGTGGACCATTAATTATCAGTTTGCTTTTTTAAGAGAGAGAGACTGAAAATGAGAGAGAAATATCAATTTGCTGTCCCACTTATTTATGCATTCATTGGTTTATTCTTGTATGTCCCCTGACCCCCATTGAACCCACAACCTTGGAGTATCAGGATAACGCTCTAACCAACTGAACTATCCAGCCAGGACTCAGTATTTACTCAACTTTATTTTGAGAAAGATTTTGCTTTAAGTTTTTCTAAAATGTGGGGATATGTGATACCATTTGTAAAACATTTAAGTCTCCCTCAGTTACAATAGATATTCAAATGTAGATTAAATTTTTTAAAAAAGTCAATAGCTCAGATTTAGAGACAGGTAGTATATTTCTTATGTATTAATATCAGCAATAGAATATTCTATATACTGGATAGTTATTTTCTATATATTACATAATATATATTATATATGAACTATAATAAATACAGCTCTAATTCTCTCATTTACTGATTTGGTGACCCTGGCCAAGTAAATCATACCCAGAGCTTCTGTA